TACACACACACACACACACACACACACACACACACACACACACCTTCTCACAACGCATGCGCACGCACACCCACCTGTTTTTGCAAGCGCAGAACATTAGACAGTTGAGGCCAAATGACCCCGTGTAGCACTTGGTCTCGTTGCAGCTCAAACCTTTCCAATGGCGGTTCACACAACCGGGCATGAAGCAGAGGCCATCCGTTTGGGAGCACGCGGTGCCGATTTTGCAGTGGCACGACCTTCGGCAGCGATGTCCATACAAACCAGTAGGGCAACTGGACTGGACACACGAGCTTCCGTAGGCTCCTCTGTGGCAGCCTGTGAAGCAATCTCCGTTGTTGGGATCGCACTGCTGGTCATTGTGGCAGTAGCAGTAGCGATCACAAGTGGCGCCGAATGTGTGCAGGCCGCAGGAGGTTTTATTACACGCTTTCCCAGTCCATCCATACAGACAGTCTGACGGGCACTCTCCTGTGACCAAGTCGCAGGCTGTGTTATTGTTGCAGTAACACAGGTATTTACATCCTTCCCCAAACCTGTCGACGGGACATGGCGTTTGGTCGCACAACTCGCCCGATCGAGCAAACGCACACCCTTTCTCACATCGACCCCCCTTGGTTTTACACAGCACTTTACCGCCCGGGCAGACACAGTGCACGAAGCAAGAATCCAAAGGTGGGTTCGGAACAACGCACAGTTGGCATATAGCTGGTGACGGTTGACCACAAGGTATTCTGCCCCATTTTTTCGTCATGTTAAGAGCCAAGCAGTACGATGCGACCCTCGAGGTTTCCTTTAGAAGAGGGTTCCAACCCCACAAGTCGGCATCAAAATTACCAACTAGGCTGGAATTCTCCCATCTGTAAGCGCCGTCTTTACCCTGCCGAGCTCCGATGAAATAATTTTTCATTTTGATAAAGTTTGGCATCTGGGAGGCCAAAGCTGCTTCTTTGTCGATATGAATTCGTGCAATCCGGGCACCGAATACCTCACACTGCACTATCTGGTTCTTGTAGGTATCGATCGCATCTAAGTACACATAGACAACTCGGCACGGCGATCGCCCGTTCACATAAGTTCCCATACAAGGGTTGGAAGAACACAACTTTGGCATGCACCAGATTAACTGAAGAACGCAGAAAACTTTCACCAGCAAATCTCTGAGATAGTGAACACAAAAACGCCGATTTTCTCTTTTTAACAAAATCATGTTTTCAGGTAAAAATTTTGTAGATTACCCCACCCCCAAAAAGTTAAATATCACCCCGCTTTGGTAATTAATTCACATAAAGATTGCACACCGGGAAGCTGGTTGCTTCACACTTTCTGTACCAAGCATCGAAACATCGGTGCCCTTCCCTACACTGTTTTTTTTTTACCCTAATATACAGATTATTTCGCGGTACAAAAAGGGTTAAAGGGCTAATAATCGGTTCCAGGTGTAAGAAAAATTACATATTTTTATAATCTGCCGTCAGTCATTTTCTGACTTTTACATTGTCTTTAGCCTAAATAACTTCGCAGGACAGGAAAAAAAGGGAAATGTCTCGATCCAGTCAGTGACTGATGAGGTCACCTCCCTCACGTCAAAGTCGAGACCAAGAAGAGTGAGGAGAAAGAATTCGGCACGTTTTACTTCAAGATTCTTATTTTCCCGCTACCGATGGCCTGCTCTGGTATTTCTTCTGGAAAATGTTCGCAATTTGGTGCTCAGAAGATGTCCACTGGAAACGGACTGTAAAAAGTAGGTCGTTGTACGGGTTGTTAATGTTTCTGCTTATTACACAGACTGGCAGATACATGAACAACGACCGGAAGTGGAGAAGAGTGCACGCGTCTCATAGCCTTGTATCATAAAATCCTAGATCTTGGATTCTGACGAAGATCCGGTTCACTAGAGAGCGCACCATTTAACTCAATTTGGAGCCCCCCCCCCCCCCCCCTCGAAAAAGGCAAATGGGGAAGGTGCCGTGCGTGCTTGAGTACAGTGATGCTGGTATTTTACCCTTCATTTGGACACCCATTGTGAGCATGCTTCTCAGTGAAGTTTTTATAGCGGGTAAAGAGCGGTGGCCATGACAGTGTATGGTCTAGGTTATTTTGAAAAATGTATTCTTCAAGTCTAAAACTCGTGTTCAAATTGGCGGTTTATTCTAGTGCTTCACGTTCACAAATAATTTTCCCGATTAATACATAACAGTTAGCACCCAAAAAAAATTACTTCCATCTTTTTAGACACAAACATCCCTGTTACCCCAAATAAAAACACCAGCCAGAAGTAAAAGACCAAGGCTTCTGATCTGTAACAAAGGAAGATAATAGAAGGTCATTTTTACCACCATCTATCAAAATGCTTCCATCTTAACCGTCTTGTATAAGTATACTTACGGCCTTAGAGCATGCATCAAAATAACATTGAGTGTGTATCTTGCTTACGATTATTATCGTTTATATTGCTGCTCGTTTATATTATGCATGTGATTGTAAGCCTACGTGTGTGTGTACATGTGTGTGTGTGTGCGTCTGAGTGTGCGCGTGAGTGTGTGTGTGTGGGGGGGTGTTTATGTGTACACGTGGTGAAACACCAAACCAATGTGCCAGGATCTGGACAATAAAGAAGTACCTTATTTTATCTTATACCCTTGCCCATTTTTCTGTCCAGTTTAGGTTGATCCCTTTGGTCTGATCTCGGTCAAAACAAGATACAAACAATTAATCGCTTTGTTTAATCTTCTCAGATATTTGCATCATCATCATCATTGCCTTTCTCACTTTGCACCAGGGTATAGGCCACGGACAAACACCTTCCACCTTTCTCTATCCTGGGCTAGCCTCTTGATGTTATTCCATGTCTTCCCACTTTTCTGTACATCGATTTCTGTGATTCTCCTCCAGGTTCCACGAGGTCTTTCTCTTGATCTCTAGCCCTTTCGGCTTTGTCTGCTGTCCTTCATTATTCCTGCTGATGCAGAAGCTCCTCCATCTCCCAAGATCGAAAAATAAAAAGCTGAGTTTGTCTGTGTTTCTGTAACTTACTGTTTTTTACTGGGTTGGATAGTTGGCCCTCCGCAGGTATTCTTTGCTCCTCCATAGTAAAACTATGGGACCTCCCCACCAGCAGGGGAGCAGATCTTTGCTTGCGGGTCTGAAAACTGGATGACCCACAGAATCTAAAAGCCCATTCATAAAGGTCACTGCAAACTAATGTTCCGACACGTTTCCTTTGATGTTAGCCTAAACACGGGTGAGTACTTTTTCAGACTCACTTGGAGACGTCAAGACAGTCCCTGAATGTAATCTACAAGCTTATACTGATATGTGTGTGTGTGTGTGTGTGTGTGTGTGTGTGTGTGTGTGTGTGTGTGTTCGTAGATCACAATTTTTAAAAGTAAAATCTTTGATTTTTTTTTAAAGCGGACTGACGAAAGCGATAATTTGGTGGGTTACAAAAAACGACTTGTACTTGTAGTTGCAAATATAAACCAGAAGATTTGCTTTTGGATCTTTTAGTCAAACATTTATTTAGAAAAACAACAACATTGAAATTATTATAAAAGCAATGATTTTCAATAATCTTTGAGTATTTTGAATGCCCTTTTAAAATAGAAAGAATGAGTGTACTATGTTTGGGGGCATGCAAGACAGAGACAGAGAAAGAGAAAGAGAAAGAGAGAGAGAGAGAGAGAGAGAGAGAGAGAGAGAGAG